GCCGTTATCAGGAGTAAGCATTTATTGAAATACATATTTATATCTATTTATATCGATTTTCCAGCTCCATTCCCCCCATTTCCTCGTCCCCACCCCGACCCCAAACCCCAAAAACACGGGGTCAGTTTTTATGGGGAATCTTCTGCCGGGCCGGGATTTCAGGATATCAGGATTTCGGGATTTCAGGATATCGGGATTTTGGGGTATCGGGATTTCAATATTTTGGGATTTGGGGATTTTGAGATATCAGGATTTGAGATTTTGGGATTTTGGTATTTCAGGATTTGGGGATTTTGGGATATYGGGATTTTTGAATTTTGGGATTTCCGTGCCACCTTCTCACACCGCGTTTATCAGGAGTACGCATTTATTGAAATATATATTTATATCTATTTATATCGATTTCCCATCCCCATTCCCCCCATTTCCTCACCCCCTCCCCGACCCCAAACCCCAAAACCCCATAAACCCGGGGTCAGTTTTTATGGGGGATCTTCTGGCGGGCGGGCACGTAGGGCAGCAGCGTCTGCGTGCTCTTGTCGGCCACGGTCTGCGTGCTGCTGTTCCTCGTGGCCCTCCTCGCCCCGCCCGACCCCACAATTTTTGAGGCCGTCCCTTTTCCCGCGGGGCCGTCCCCGTCGGGGCCGTCGCCGTCATCGTCRTCGCAGCACAGGGCGTGGTACAGCACCTTGTCGCTGAAGCGGACACGCTCCCGCGTGCCGGCCGGACGCTGTGCCGTTCTGGCCGGTTCCTCGTCCGGCGTGGCGCTGCGGCCGCCGCGGGGGCCGTTGGTCAGCGGCACCGTCCCGTTCATCAGGCGGAAATCGGGCGGCCGGAGCGGCGCYGGCCGCGGAGGCTCCGGGCAGTCGCCAGGGTCGGAGGGCGTGGAGGCGTCCAGGAAGGAGCAGAATTCCCAGCTGTCCGAGAGGACGTCGGACGAGGCCGTGTCCAGAGGGCCCAGCTCCAGGCCGGCGCCGCCGCGGTCGCTGCTGGACGTGCTGCTGGCTGTGGCCGGGGTCCAATCGTCCGGCTCCAGGTCCAGTGCGAAGGC